GCTGTATGATTAGAAGTGTATGGAACTTATACTACAAAAGTGACAAGTAACTGAAGTCACTCAGAAGGGGAAACCCATAAACTCCTCGCCACAAAAAGCTTCCATTGGAGAATGGGTTGTTCCTACCAGCTAACCAGTTAAATTCCATTTCTTTTTTTTTTTTTCCCAAACGTTTAAGCTCTGTTCTCAGTATTAAAAACTTAACATTACAGCAGATCCCTCTGTTTGTTGCCATAGCTCAACCCAACGTAACAGAAACGTTTTTGAGACAAGAGACCATCTTCGGGCTGGCGTACTCTAACACATGCACAGCAAACAAGAAATTCCCTGGCCTGTGTGTCTTTCAAACAACTAAAATGTTAAGTGCACAGATTCAACAAAGACATGGAACTACTGAGGTTCTGCACTTTGTGAAATATGAATTTTGTAGCTTTTCATGGATTGGACTTGAGGTTCATTCCACAGAGAGAAACATAATACACCATGAAAGCCAGAATAGAAGAAAGAGTAGCTACTGAGGGATGTCAGGTTTTCAGAAAATGCTTCCACCTGTGTTTTAGGCTATTTTTGTTCTGTTGTGAGGACTGCTGAAAATGTAGAGATTGTCTTCTAGCATCCATTCCTGAGTTACACAGCTGTAGGATCCTAATGGGTCCAGGATGCAGAAACCAAGGACTTTTACTCAATCCTGCTAAGGTACTTTAGTGTAACTGGAATTTGAAATAGTTATGAACTAGTAAGGTATAAACAAAAAAAAAAAAAATCCCAAATAAATGCTATCAGGAAAGGAAGAAATAAGTAGGAAAGCTATGCAAGGAAAGCACACAATTTAAGAATTTAAATGTTCATGATAGTTTAAGGTGCCTCAATTACCTTGTACTATAAATGACCAAGGAAACAGCACTGCCCAACTCTCCACAGTATTTGTTTATCATAGCAAATTTGATACTGGGCTAGACTAATAAAGCAGATGGTTCCAAACTCTGATCTTCCTAATGCTATTTGAAATGCAGCACATCCGGGTAGAAATGCTTCACCTGGTCTCTGTCAGTAATAAACGGTTCTGAAGAGAGGAAAAATACCAGAAAAAATTGTTGAAACGTTGTACCTTTGTAGTGGTCAGACTGTAACTTGGAAATGGATCGGGGCTCTAGAGGTTAGTGGATTCCTGTTCTTAAAATAGTGTTGGGTGTTTAAAGTCCAAGATGACTGATCACTGTCTGAGGTAAAGAACGGCTCTTGCAGCACTCCAATCAATGCTGCTTTAGAACCTCATTGCTGCAAGGCAAGGACATGATAATGATACACAACAGCCTCTGTGCAAAACTATTTTTTACTTCACTGGTTTTAAAAATGATCAAAGCTGGATCTGTGTGCTTTGGAGAAGTTTCAGCTTCACAGCTAGACTTGGGGACAAAAAATATATATTCATTGCTGTAATAACAATAGTTGTAGCAAAGCAGTTTCGAGCAAATGTGTGTCTTGAATTGCTCACGTTTTCCTTTCTTATTTAAACAGATGCTTTCCATGCTTGATCTCAGTTCAGAGGTGAATCTCTTAGAACATGAATGAAATAAAATCTTTAGAACTAATGTTAGAGTTCTTTGGCACAGAAAAATTAAGTTCAGGGTGGAGTGATGTGATTGTATAAAATCCTGTGTGGGTGTTTCTACAAATGTCCAAATAGATGAATACGTAGATAACATGGATAGGTGAGGAACTGTGGGAATGGGAGTGATTTTTTTGCCTCCATTAGTGACCTTCTATGACACTGTAAAGATTTAAAAGTTTGTCTATAATATCAGTTATTCTGAATTTTCTAATTAAAATTAGCATTTTAATTCTAATTTTAATATAAAATATTATATATATAAAAATAATATATATACAATAATGCTGTGCCAGGATATTTTATGTTGTCTTATGCTACTGTAGCATCAGATCTGTACATTGTGGAAGTTGCTGGTTTAATTGGGAAGGTCTGAACCATAACTGTGTATAATGATGGCTTTGGTTAATATGAAGGAGAAATATTTGGTAAGTGTACTTCAAATGGCTTAAGATAATGCAACAGTAAGGTACATGAGGCATCTTGCCTCCCCTTTGTTGAGTTCTCCTTCAGTTCTAGCAACACTTGGAATACCAAACTTGTGAAGTCAGGGAATTAAAAATCAAAGCTAAGTTGTGACATAGTAAACCAGACTATTTGGAACACTACTCCTTGTATGGAATACTTCATAATTATGCAGAATTTGAACTGACTGTGCAGGATTACATTATTTAAGTTGTTGCTGTAGTAGTTTAAGTGAAAGAAATTCTGTTTCTAGAATTTAGATTGTCTTAAATTTGGGTTAAAATACCTTTTTTATGCTTTCTCCTTGCAGTTCTGTCTCCCAGGATATGATATTACTTACTAACCATGAAATTATTTTAAATACAGTTTAACTGTATAGCAAAGAATACAAATTAAATATTGAATTTAGGTTCTTAAGTGCTCAGTTATGATAAATATAGATTAGATTAATATTTAAGAATATTCTGATTTTTAATATTCCTATATTAGACAGACCTTAGTGGTGTATGTGTTTTTGCTTAATTCTGCAACAAAACTGAAGTTTTTATGTGTTAGATGGTCTTGTTTAACACTGTGTGTTGCTTAAACTGACTTTGTTTGTATTTGCTTGCAGGATCGCACAAGGACTTTTGACATGCATTCACTGGAGAACTCACTAATTGACATAATGAGAGCCGAAAATGATTCGCTGAAAGGTAAATTTAGAAAGAGACTATTTCCTGCAATAAATAATTGGGAAGACGTGCTTACTTAGAATAAGAAACTTGAGTTGTGGTTAGGAAAAGTGAAGTTACATTGTGCACCTAGTGCACGACGGTCAGCTCGGGTAGGCCTCCTTTTCTTTGGTTCTCTCTAGATGAAGTTGTTGCAACACATGAGCACTCGAGTGTGTTTTGTCTTTATAGAAAACAATGTGAAACACAAACATGAGCTGATCTTTTGTGTAAGTTGCCAGTGTTGTTTTTAATAGATGCAATGTGTGCAGCCTGTAAAAATGATCAGCATCAGGAATCTTGTGCAGCTTGGTGAGATGAAACTTTTTGCTTAATGGTGTTTTCCTGCTTAAGTCATAGTTCTTTCTGTCTTAGGGAAGAGTGAGGTTTAACTATGTCATTTTGAGAAGAACACAGAGTATTTCATCACAATATTTTTTATTTTTTACATCTCTTTTTGTTGCTGCCTTGAATTGCAGAATGATTTGTACCATTGGGAAAGGGAAAGGAGGTTGAAAAGGGGGTTGAACTGACATGTAGCTAGGGTTTGTTTCTTTTTTTGCAAAGGTGATTTTTCTTTGAAAATGCCTCAGCTTACAAAATATTTGCAGCATTTTCTACATATTTGATTTAAACCTAAATAGAAACTGCTTATGATGTACAGTTCAGAAGTCTTGTTTCTTTTTCTTCTGTATAATGAGTAAACTATTTCAGTTCACTGTTTACTTGTATAACTAGTCAAACTCTTACTCATGCTCATTATCTAAGCATTCAGTATTGTTACTAGTCATGAGGACACTGAAAAAGCAAACCTGCATTTGTGGTTTCTGAAAGTAAATTTCTTTTGATACCAGGGCTTATGGTGTTAGTGAAATAAGGCTTGTTTTAATAGTGACTCTTGCTCAGAAGACCAGCCTTCCATGAACAGTCAACAACCTGGGCTTGTTGCATTTGCTGTAGTCTGAAATGCAGATTGCATTTCACATCCCCATGACTGTGCAGGAATTCAGAGTGATGAAATACCAAGAAATACACTTTCCTACTGAAATGACAAGGAGAGCTTGACGTAGATAAAAGTAATGCCAAATGAATTTAAAATCTAAAATGCATTCCCTCCTTATGTAGTGGGGGACAGGCTTTTATCAGTGACAACTAGTAATAGCTTTCATTTGTTTTGTATGCTGTCTGGCAACATCCTCTGCCTCCAGCATTGTGTATGTGCCCTGCTGTGGCTGCAGCGCCTGGGATTGCCCTGAGAATCATAGAATCCTTTAGGTTGGAAGAGACCTTTAAGATCATCAAGGCCAACCATTGAGCCAATAGGGCTCTAAAGTCCTCTGCTAAAACAGATCAGAATCTGTCAGGGCTGGAAGGGACCACAAGGATCACGCAGTTCCAACCCCTCTGCCATGAGCAGGGACACCTCACTATGCAGCTTTCAGGAAGGCACAACCCAAATTTTAGCAGCTGAAATCTGGCAAGGTAACACCACAAGGTGACATGCTGTAGAGCAAATACCATTTTCCTTTAAATTTGAGTTTAACAAAGTCAGGTTCATATGTATTTATATATATTATATTTAGCAACTAAACAAGGGTAGTTCTGTATGATTTTTAGTTTAACTTCTTTGAAAAGATTCTTTGCAATTGAAATATTTTTTTGAGTGCTTACCATGTTTTAAGTAGGATGGAGTAAGCATGTCGTCAAAGAATACGTACAGTTCCAATACCCGTTAATTCCTGCTTAAGCTTGATTGTTAATCCCCTCTGCAGAGTCATCTGTGGTTTGTCTAAAGTTTTGTGCGCATTGTATCACACTGAAATACAGTAAATCAGGTATTGTTCTGGGTATTATTTCTTAAGTTCTTCATACATTGTTCTTTTTCGTGGTTAATAGTTATAAAAGTATAAAGAAAAAGCCTTAGAACAGAGATGAAAAATTTAAGTGAGCCTAGATTAAATATTTTTTTTGTAAAGTCTCATTTTTCAAGGGTTTCCTCAGAAAAAACATTAAGCTTGTTTATAGAGAAATAGGCAGTACCCTGACTTTGCTGCTTATCTGGCATAGCATACAGTCACTGAGTTGTCGTAATATATTCAGGAATGGATCTTTATTCAAACTAGGATCTACCGTGTTCTGGTAATGCTGCAGGGATCATCCTAGGTAAGGTGGGATTTGTAAAGAGAGGAAATACCTTTAGTTAACCATCTGATACAGCTGGAAAAAAAACCTACAACTTGCTGGTACAAAACATATTTCAAGTCAAGTCTGAAGAAGGGCTTATGTGACCACAAGCCTTTTGTGTTTTTTTTCCATCTGTATCAATTAGTGTAAGATTATATCTTAACATAGATTCTGTCTCTACTGTTTTATTGTCTCACCTTTATGGAAACTGATTGAAAGACATCTTTAAAAACCTTTGATCTAGAAATCTTAAAATTTAACAAATTATGGTTGTCAGTTCAGGTCTTGCTTGCTGTTTCAAGCACCCGCAGTGAAATAAGCAGATCCATAAAAAGATTTTTGTTTTGCATTTTAGATGGCTTAAGCAGTACGTACAGTGCTTTTAAACTAAAGTTGGATGCTCTCAGAAAGGAAAAGCTTCTGGGTTTGAGACTTTAAAAATAGCCTGGGCAAGACACTAATAAAACATACTGTAGAGAGCAACCTCAGAATGGCATGGAAATAATTCAGATGATCTAATAGGTCTCACTGCTATCTTGTGAGATTTTGAGAGGCCTTAATATTGACTCTCTGAATTTAGTATGTAACACATTGTAATGTACTTGCAAGAGAAAACGGTACTATTCTAAAATATACCTTCAAAAAAACTTAGAGTATGGATGTGATAATAAATACCAGTCACAGTTTGGAACCTGCTGTCTCTTGGAAATAGTTTCTGTCTTTAAATGGTATGTTCAGAGCAGAAAGTTTTGAATCCTGTAATAAAATTGTAAGTAGGGATTCTTTAAAATTTGGCAAAATCCATTCACAACATGTACTTCTTGACTGAGGTTGTTAGGCTGTGCTAGCCTGGGCTTTGTTTTGGACAGTAATAATTACATTCTTGGGTTGTCTTTCTATATGAATTAAATATTGTTTCCTGCTCGAGTTTCAAAGGTGATTTGTAAGTATTGATTCAGTACATTCAGTGTCACCTTTTAATGCTTTTGATAAGCATTTTACCTTTTTGCACCGCCCCCTCCCCCACCACCCACCTTTTTAAGGTATATTTTTATGCCTGCTCAAATCCTCTTCCTTTGCTGAGCAGCTGCCATTTCAATATGTTATTTTTATCCACACGAGTGAGCGTGCTGCTTGCTGCATAGCCAATGACAGCCTGCAGAAGCCTTTCCCTAGAGACTAATTGCATCTTCTTTACAGTGTATTCGGCCTTCGTCAGCTGAGCCTGGGATCCAGAGACTGATTTCTGAATCTGGGTCTTCCAGATGGCAATTTGAGCATTACTGTAATAAGTAGTAGATTGACTAAATATTTCCTTGTTAAGTGACACTAAAATGTCTTTAAATACTTTATAACCGCAGACTGTTTTATTACTGAATATCCTGTGGTTCCGTTCAGAATATAAGGTTATTGCCTGGAAGTTATGCAAGGTGAAATGCATTACAGCAGCAGGCCAGTACATCTGCTTCTGGCACTGCAGAGCACTTCTGTAAGATTTGGGTGTGAATAGCTCAGTATCTGCATGAATGCTACGCGTGTGAAATAGTCTGTAAACAAACTTATACACAAAAAAGAAGGTTTTAGGAGTTGCATAAGGTCAGAGTATACATGCAGACACTGGGAGAAAGAGTCAGACAGCACCTCTAAATTTTAGAGGTAGAAAACCAGAATGATGAGAATTGGCACCATTCAGGATTTCTCTGCGCAAGCAGTTATACCTATTTTTAAAGCAATCATCAGCCCCTTAATATAGATCTGAAAAACTATTTCTGATTTGAAGAAAGTAGGTAAACCTTATAAAAGTGTTGTGTGATGAAAGGGGTCCAAGTCATTTTGACAGCATTTTCTGAGTATCGGGTAAGAAACTGAACTAGTTGGTTTTTTTTTCTAGCCGTGTGCATTATGCAACATTTGCATTACTTGAATAGAATGGGCCTTTTGGTTTCCTATATGATCCAGAAAATTGATGAGAATTTGCTGACAATCACACAAAATTTTTGCTAAGGGCTAAATAACAAAGGCCTTCTTTTTAGGGAAGCTGTCATTTTTATACACACAGGACAAAATCAGATCTATTTTAAAATGTAAGATAACGGCTTTTGAAGTTTTTCTTAGATTTTAAAACCATCTTTGTTTTCATAGCAATGAGGAATGCTTGAGGTGGGTGGCTAAGATCAACCATTCTTCCCTGCTCTTGGTCTGTGTGGAGAGTTACATGATCTAGTTACTGAGTTCTGAAAGTCCAAGGCTTGTGGCCAATCCGTCCGGCTGTACTGATGCCGCAGTCAGGCGTCTTCGTGCCTCTGGTACGTGAGGGAGCTCTCCCAAGGGCACTGTGGTGGTCATGCCTCAGACTCCTGAGGGCAGCATCCGTGGCTGATCTCGTTTGTGCACCTTGTCTCAGAACAATCTTAGCTAAGCATACTTTTTAATGTATCCAGCTTTGGATAATATATACAAAAACTTCCACTTCTACTGTACCATGCTGTTGACAAGTTTTTGTAGACAATTAAGGTTTGCTGTAATTATCTTTGAAAACTGTTGATGAATTACTGTGTTGAATGTTTCCTACTCAGAATCTTCTTGTATTTTACCTCCTATGCAGTACCCAGGAAAGGCTAGTGGGATTTATAGACTTGAGTGCGTATTAATTAAGAGGAAAACCAATTGGTTTACTATCTCAAAATATTGCTGAACTGGGTCCAATAGCAATAAACTACAACCAGTGCTGATGGAGCTGGGATGGGGGAGAAGGTCTGAGTTTTATTTGAAATCATTTATTTGAAATCAGGTGCTGC